CGTACCGTGGTATTTACCTTGTGGCAGTTTTCAAGTTTTATTGCAAACCAAATAAATAAATTATCAGCCATTGGTGGGCTAAGGCCTCCCTATGCTATTGCCAGCCCCCACAATCCTGTGATTGCAAAATCCATCTTACTCCTGCAAATCATTGTAATAAAACTATGTACCTTACGATGAACGTTTTTTCATCGGTGCATATTATTTGCTTTGGCATACCAGTCAAAAAAGGGAAACTTCACAAACAGGATACAAGCTGAAAAACATAAAAAGCATGGAGAGATGCAGGCTTAGAATTGCACAAGAGACAGAGAAACACGTGAATCAGAGAAGAAACACAAGTCAGAGACGCATTGACTGTTCAGGAAAGTAAAAGGGTGCTTGGGCAAAACATTTTGCTGGAAGAGATCATGACCCGTGACCCATGGATATCCGATAACGATCATTTTGAGAAAAATTCTCCAACAAGATCAGTTTGAATGTGCGCAAGTGACATTACCTTTTTGTTTTTCAGCGGCAAGACATTTGCGACGCGCTAGCTGGGAGCTACAGGGGAGCAGCTGGGAGCCACAGGGGAGCAGCTGGGAGCTGAGGGCCCAGGCACGCTTCAGCAGCCTCAAAGACAGACACCTGCACATGTTGAACACATCTTCATTAGATGCCCATTCCTTTTCCTTGCCCTTCATGAAATGTATCCAAATGTTCTTTTGTTCCTATAATTGCTTTTTTATATTGTATGTCAATCATGTGCATGTAAATGGAAATCTATACAAAAAAATGATGCAATTTATTCCTGCCTGGTTTGTGTTTTCATTCTAATTTCTAAATGTGGGGAATTTGCTCATTTCTTAAGTGAGTTGATTTGGATTCATCACAATTACACTGCCCCATCAAATGTTAATGCCAGGCCTTTGAATGACTTTCCACTTGTATTAACATTGACAGTAACGGTACTTGTGAACCAAAATTGCTCTCAAATAAAACCATATTGTTAGCTCTTGTATGTTCTTTTCTTACATGATGTGTAAACTTTTTAAACTTAATATGAAACCAGAGCTTTTATTTGGCAGTGACATTAAACTTAAGGGAAAATAACATTTACTTGAATGGTAGATTATAAGATAAATAGTTATTCTCTTGATTTGAAGCTTTCGTGACTGCAGGAATCCATACTCTCTTGTTCTTTCGGTAAAGTCACGAAGATAGAAAAAATAATAAAAGAAACACGACGTTTCGGTCGCCATCTACCACCCTGAACATGGCCTCGCCACCTTCATCAAGCAAGGTCTAAAGGACTCTCCTCAGTGCGCTTATAACCCCACTATCAGTATGCTATGACCCCACCTCCAATTAGTACGGTTGGCTACATACGGTGTGAAAGAAGTTCAACATATATACATGGATAGAAGGCTGACTTTCAAGCCCACAAAATTGATTCGTGAAAATAACCTAGTCAAAAATGCCCCTATTACAGAAAATTCCATGAACGACCTGGGGTGCCTCAGCTACTGTGCTGCGAGCTTTTGCCCAATCTTTGATATACTCGGTATCAAATTGTTGTGCTCCAGGCCGGTACGGGAGCCCGTACACAAAACTGCTAGATGTATAAATAATGCAATGTGCTTTTAAAGCAGAATACGGACAGTAATTCCATGGCTCCCTGTTATGTTCAACATTCTGTCACCAAATATCTACAGAAACATGCCAATCTCAAGGGAGTTTACACGTTCTTTTGCAAACGACAACCTATCCATCAACCAAAACCTCAAGTATATACCTCGCCACTACCACAGTCCCAATCTCCATTCTGGGATTACGTTGTCGACATCCCAGACATTGAAGAATGCTGGCGAGCGGCGTGGAACAACGCAGATGCCTAGAATTAACAACTAATTCGAGACCCAAACATCGTTCTTCATGGCTTAGACATTCTTCAAAGACACTAGTGTACCATCAACCGCATCAGAACATCAACAAGTCAATGTGCACATCTTCACAAATGGAAATTAAAGGCAAGCCATGGTGTGATTGTCCATGCAACCCAAACGATAGAACATATAGTAAATCACTAACCTGTGCTTCAATGGAGGCGGAATAGCACAATGACACGAACTCGATCCCGAAACCCTCGTGGCTAGCAGACCTCAACATTGCCATTTAATATATTACCATATACGCAATGTAAATATAAATTGAATGAGCGATGACATTTTGTGAAATTGTATTATCTAACCAGACATGTAAAATGTTCGTAAGATACAAGGCCACGCGAGCTAGATCAGGTTACCCTCATTTTCAGCTTCTCGCACGTGACATGGAGGTTAATTTATAGCCATGGCAATGAACCGACTTTTGAGGGTCCATGGTCGGTCAGTACGCACTTGCTCGGGATATATTTTGGCCGATGTCAACGGTAAATAGCCTCTAAATTCCTTAGCCGACCATGTCCTTAAATAAGCCCTCGAATTAACCTTATGAGGCGCAATTGTGTTGGGGAGAGAGCAAAGGGTGGCTGAAATCTGACTAGTCAGCTGACTACCGGCAGTGCAAATGTTTTTAAACCTTCTCTTGGCCCGATCTCCCCTACCCTGCTGTTCTACCTTCCAAACCATGAAGTGAACATTTATTTCGTATTTTAGTCGTTTCAGAACTACGTTTGGATACAAATTATAAATGATCCATGTAGAAAATTATAAAATATTAATATTTCGGTTGATCCTACTTTCAGATGGCTAGCCAATTCCTTGATTAGAAACCCAACACTGAAAACTTACTGGGAGAGCATTTTAACACGCAAGCACAAAACCATACATATTTTTGAATTACAACTGTAATGAATATCTTGAAAATCACACAAAATACGCGTCAGAAGATTATATGCGAACATGTAATGCCGTGAATAGATTTTCCACCAGTTCAAATAATGACTGAGACTGGTGCTGGATGACCAATCTCCTGGGATAGTGGCTTGACTTGCGGCAGACAAGTCCGATACATAATCACGTTGTTCTCGAGGATTACATCTCATCGCGGACTGGTTGGCGGCCTATTATCGCTTGAACTTGTTTCGACGCGTTTATAAAGTGATATAGATGTGAAAGCATCAATAATTCGTGAAGCTAAATCCAAATTGTACTTCCGCGGTGTTTCAAGGTTGGATAACTTTGACCCAAGCGTGTTTCATCTTGAATCCCTCTGTCACGATTACCCCAACACTCAATCAACAAATCATATGTTTGTCAATAATACTGTACTCTGGAAAAAACATGAAGAGCGAACATTTTAAAAACGATATTACGTCCATAAAGTGATGAATTTGGCCATATAAACGTTTGTGGGAATTCTTCGTGGTTGTTACCTTACACTAACCCATTGTGCGGTAATGAGAATCATGGTTCCTGATTGCAGTACCTGCACCAACGAACGGTCTATTGAGCGCCGTACCTACGTAATCGCCACTTTCGTGGCGAATTGCGGTTGTTGTGTGTATATTTGTTGTGTATTTATGTGCGTCCATGTGTTTAGGTGTGTCTGTGTAGGTGTCTGTATATGTATATGCTTGTGTGTCTGTGCATACTAGTATCTGTTTACAGAGGTGTGGACTCGAGTCATGTGACTTGGACTCGAGTCAGACTCGAGTCATGAATTTGATGACTTCAGACTCGACTTGGACTTGCATAACAATGACTTTGTCCCACCTCTGAGGTGTGGACTCGAGTCATGTGACTTGGACTCGAGTCAGACTCGAGTCGTGAATTGGATGACTTCAGACTCGACTTGGACTTGCATGACAATGACTTTGTCCCACCTCTGTCTGTTTATATGTGTATGTGTATATGTCCGTGTATCCGTACATTGTATGTGCATCTGTGTTTGTCAATATGTATTCGATACTTGTTTATACATACAGTATATCTACAATTATGCTATATCTGTGTGGATTTGTCTGCGTCTGCATGTCGTCCTACACCTTACGTGTGTAGTCGTACATCCAGTGATGTATTTGTGAATTAACTCCAGGGCACACACGTCTCGCTCGGGGAGGATGTTATTCCGCTTGCGGTGAGGATGTCATCATCACCACCACCACTAAAATATCAACAACCCCCCGTATAGCCTGAACAGAGTGTTGGGGCAAGTGATGTTAGCGAGCACCTATGAACTCGAGTCGCCGGGTTCGGAGCGCGGCACGCTAACCGTTACACCACCACTCCGAATATCATCATCATCACCACCGCTCCCCACATCATCATCACCACCGCTCCCCACATCACCACCACCATCATCACCACTACCCCCATCATCATCACCACCCCTCCCCACATCATCATCACCACCGCTCCCCACATCATCATCACCACCGCTCCCCACATCACCACCACCATCATCACCACTACCCCCATCATCATCACCACCCCTCCCCACATCATCATTACCACCCCTCCCCACATCATCACCATCATCACCACCATCATCACCACCACTCCCCACATCATCATCACCACCCCTCCCCACATCACCACCATCATCACCACCACCACTCCCCACATCATCATCACCACCCCTCCCCACATCATCATTATCACCATCACCACCACCATTATCACCACCACTCCCATCATCATAATCACCACCCCTCCCCACATCATCATTATCACCATCACCACCACCATCATCACCACCACTCCCATCATCATCACCACCACTCCCCACATCATCATCATCACTACCACCATCATCACCACCATCATCATCACCACCATCATCACCACCACTCCCATCATCATCACCACCACTCCCCACATCACCACCATCATCACCACCGCCATCATCACCACCGTTATCATCACCGCCCGTCCATCACGCGGTGGAGTCCAGGCGTGAGCCAATTGCGCGCGGCTCGCTGTGTATCCAGGTGACGTGTGCGAGCCCGCAGGTAATCGCCGGGCTATATAAACAACAAGCCCCGCGGGCTACGTGTGCCAGGTCGTCTCGCCTCGGGGACGTTTCCACACTCGCCGCTCATCGCACGCAGCACGTTGCAAGCGCGCTCGTCTCTGACCAGTTTTTCTCTGCGTCACGATTCATCTAAGAGCCCCGCACACGACGCAATCCGTTCGCCGAGCAGGCGAAGCTTTGAGCCATGAGCTCGCTAAGCGCCAGCTATGTCCAGCACATCGGGTCGAGCCACAGCCAGCGTCAGCGCAGGAGATGCCTCGTCAATGGCTCGTACGCCGCGGGTGACGGGTGTCCCTCCCTGCGGGGGCCCCGCACCCCGGTCGCCTTCGTGCCCCACGGAGGGACCTCCCGGGCGCGCTCGTGGGGGTGCCCTCCGGCCCCACCACCGGAGATCGACCGCGGGGTGCTGCCCGTGCGCTTCCAGGAGAAGGAGCAGATGAAGACGCTCAACGACCGCTTCGTCAGCTTCATCGAGAAGGTCTCATGGGCGGTGGGGGTGGTGGGGGGAGCGGTGGTACTTTGGTTAGCGCACTGCGCTGAATCTGCTGTTGAGTTCGATTGGGAGGCATTACGTAGTTTTAATGATTATGTAATGGGATGATGATTTGGGGGTGCGGGCTTGCGGGGGGGGGGGTGATGGATTGGTGGCGTAACCAGCGAGGGAGGTGGTAGTAGCGGACAGCATGGGGGCGGAGATCGTGTCTGTCACCAGTGCCGGATTAAGCAAGTGCGGGGTCTGTCGCATATGTTACAAAGGGGCCCTAAATAAATAAATAAAAATACATACATATTAAAACACAAATATTTTACTTGCACAGTAAAGTTATTGTATGTTTTAATTTGCTATACAACCAGACAATACAACAAATCGCTCACCTTAAACACCCAGTCGTCCATAAAAGTTGAAGGCAGTATAGTACTATAGTAATAGAGCAAGTGCAGAATCACTGAACCGGAATTGATAGCTTGAAACATTTTAGCGCGGGACCCTTGAAAATACGGGGCCCGTAGCATTGCTACTTTTGCTACTAGGATAATCCTGCACTGTCTGCCACTACTGCGTTATGCTCAGTGACACCGTTATTAGAGTGTCATTAGTAACCGACTGATGTTCATGTCATTCGGCCAATGTCTGGCTATCACTGGCCCGAAATTTGCCTGAAGCATTCTTTTTCATATACACCTCGGTGCGCGCACTGCACATATGAAGTACTGTGCGCATATAAATGCAGTGTAATTATCCACCGCACATGTTGAGTGTAAACTGCATAGCTTACCGTATCGTTTTAGAAGTGGCACTGTGGTTAGTTAGCAAAAATGTGCTGTGAACCCTGCCACCTGAGTTAGATTCCATTCCATGGCTAACATCGCTAGCGAGGGTTATCTGAATCGGTCCTGGGCTCCCTGCTTTATCAACCCGTGCTGACCAGCGTGGTGAAGTATGGTCACATAGCCCCCATTACTGACATTACACGGGGGGGGGGCAGTCTTCATCCAGAAGTGGATTGACACACGGCTCTATATTATGATTATTATGATGCATTATTATATTATAGATGTAACAATTCACCCATCCATGCATGTGTTGTTGAATTGTCATGATTTTTAGGCAAAAAACATATTCTTGTGTGGTTTATGTAAGATCTATAGGGGTTCTAATAACCACATAATAGAATACGAAAATAATCTATGCACGTATCACGATTGTATGAATCGTTTATTCACTGAAACGTTCATTATTTTATTACACTTAAACATCTTACCACTGCTCACCGAGATTCACACTTAGTCTCACCACAATAGCCAGTAGACATACTGATGTGCAGTCTTGTGTGACAACGTTGTGCTTTTGTCCGTACAGAGGTGCATGGATGGAATGGGGATATTAACAGGAAACGGTACATCCTAGCAAAATTACGTGATTTTTTTTGGGGGGTTCTAAAAAACTTTGTCAGTCATAAAAAGAAAATTGCCATGCCTTAAATTCGTCTTTTGTCGATGAATGCCCGCCATAATTACCTGAGACTTAAGGAATCTCAGAACAACGCTAATGTGGGCCGAACATAACTGCAGTCAATTACATTCCAGCGAACTACGTGACACCTGCCGATGACCAAATCACTGTCAATGCGCCCCCGCTCGAGAGCTGAGTAGAGTTTGTATAGGCCTTAGATGACTGGCCACCGTGGACAAAAAGCGTGTTCTAGGCTGCTGCGGGTTTATAATGTGAGCAGCAGATGGCATTGCAGCAAATTTAATTATTATGCCTATTCTATCTATGTTCCCCATATAAAAAAAACAACCCCACACTCATCATAGGACCTCCTTTGCCAGTACCAAAATATGATAATAGGTTTTTCCCATTTTTTCTGGCAACTAAACAGGTGTTAAAATGATAATTGGTTCTTTACCCTTCTATCTGGCAACAAAACTGACACCTTTTTGCAAGGAGTCATGTTTGCATAGACCGCAATACCTGCAGTCATAAATACAAACAAAAGACATAACTCTGATAATGTGCACTGTCCTTGAAGTTGATTGGTCCACACCCGAGACAGCTTTCCTTCGAGCCTAGTCTCATATGGGTTGGACCAGATGACGCCAAAAGGCGCACAACTCAAGGACAATGCACCATCAGAGTATGAGAGCTCGGGGCAAGCATCTACACTATGGGGACCTCATTTGCCAGTAAAAATATGATAATTGGTTCTTTACCCTTCTATCTGGCAACAAAACTGACACCTTTTTGCAAGGAGTCATGTTTGCATAGACCGCAATACCTGCAGTCATAAATACAAACAAAAGACATAACTCTGATAATGTGCACTGTCCTTGAAGTTGATTGGTCCACACCCGAGACAGCTTTCCTTCGAGCCTAGTCTCATATGGGTTGGACCAGATGACGCCAAAAGGCGCACAACTCAAGGACAATGCACCATCAGAGTATGAGAGCTCGGGGCAAGCATCTACACTATGGGGACCTCATTTGCCAGTAAAAATATGATAATTGGTTCTTTACCCTTCTATCTGGCAACAAAACTGACACCTTTTTGCAAGGAGTCATGTTTGCATAGACCGCAATACCTGCAGTCATAAATACAAACAAAAGACATAACTCTGATAATGTGCACTGTCCTTGAAGTTGATTGGTCCACACCCGAGACAGCTTTCCTTCGAGCCTAGTCTCATATGGGTTGGACCAGATGACGCCAAAAGGCGCACAACTCAAGGACAATGCACCATCAGAGTATGAGAGCTCGGGGCAAGCATCTACACTATGGGGACCTCATTTGCCAGTAAAAATATGATAATTGGTTCTTTACCCTTCTATCTGGCAACAAAACTGACACCTTTTTGCAAGGAGTCATGTTTGCATAGACCGCAATACCTGCAGTCATAAATACAAACAAAAGACATAACTCTGATAATGTGCACTGTCCTTGAAGTTGATTGGTCCACACCCGAGACAGCTTTCCTTCGAGCCTAGTCTCATATGGGTTGGACCAGATGACGCCAAAAGGCGCACAACTCAAGGACAATGCACCATCAGAGTATGAGAGCTCGGGGCAAGCATCTACACTATGGGGACCTCATTTGCCAGTAAAAATATGATAATTGGTTCTTTACCCTTCTATCTGGCAACAAAACTGACACCTTTTTGCAAGGAGTCATGTTTGCATAGACCGCAATACCTGCAGTCATAAATACAAACAAAAGACATAACTCTGATAATGTGCACTGTCCTTGAAGTTGATTGGTCCACACCCGAGACAGCTTTCCTTCGAGCCTAGTCTCATATGGGTTGGACCAGATGACGCCAAAAGGCGCACAACTCAAGGACAATGCACCATCAGAGTATGAGAGCTCGGGGCAAGCATCTACACTATGGGGACCTCATTTGCCAGTAAAAATATGATAATTGGTTCTTTACCCTTCTATCTGGCAACAAAACTGACACCTTTTTGCAAGGAGTCATGTTTGCATAGACCGCAATACCTGCAGTCATAAATACAAACAAAAGACATAACTCTGATAATGTGCACTGTCCTTGAAGTTGATTGGTCCACACCCGAGACAGCTTTCCTTCGAGCCTAGTCTCATATGGGTTGGACCAGATGACGCCAAAAGGCGCACAACTCAAGGACAATGCACCATCAGAGTATGAGAGCTCGGGGCAAGCATCTACACTATGGGGACCTCATTTGCCAGTAAAAATATGATAATTGGTTCTTTACCCTTCTATCTGGCAACAAAACTGACACCTTTTTGCAAGGAGTCATGTTTGCATAGACCGCAATACCTGCAGTCATAAATACAAACAAAAGACATAACTCTGATAATGTGCACTGTCCTTGAAGTTGATTGGTCCACACCCGAGACAGCTTTCCTTCGAGCCTAGTCTCATATGGGTTGGACCAGATGACGCCAAAAGGCGCACAACTCAAGGACAATGCACCATCAGAGTATGAGAGCTCGGGGCAAGCATCTACACTATGGGGACCTCATTTGCCAGTAAAAATATGATAATTGGTTCTTTACCCTTCTATCTGGCAACAAAACTGACACCTTTTTGCAAGGAGTCATGTTTGCATAGACCGCAACACCTGCAGTCATAAATACAAACAAAAGACATAACTCTGATAATGTGCACTGTCCTTGAAGTTGATTGGTCCACACCCGAGACAGCTTTCCTTCGAGCCTAGTCTCATATGGGTTGGACCAGATGACGCCAAAAGGCGCACAACTCAAGGACAATGCACCATCAGAGTATGAGAGCTCGGGGCAAGCATCTACACTATGGGGACCTCATTTGCCAGTAAAAATATGATAATTGGTTCTTTACCCTTCTATCTGGCAACAAAACTGACACCTTTTTGCAAGGAGTCATGTTTGCATAGACCGCAATACCTGCAGTCATAAATACAAACAAAAGACATAACTCTGATAATGTGCACTGTCCTTGAAGTTGATTGGTCCACACCCGAGACAGCTTTCCTTCGAGCCTAGTCTCATATGGGTTGGACCAGATGACGCCAAAAGGCGCACAACTCAAGGACAATGCACCATCAGAGTATGAGAGCTCGGGGCAAGCATCTACACTATGGGGACCTCATTTGCCAGTAAAAATATGATAATTGGTTCTTTACCCTTCTATCTGGCAACAAAACTGACACCTTTTTGCAAGGAGTCATGTTTGCATAGACCGCAATACCTGCAGTCATAAATACAAACAAAAGACATAACTCTGATAATGTGCACTGTCCTTGAAGTTGATTGGTCCACACCCGAGACAGCTTTCCTTCGAGCCTAGTCTCATATGGGTTGGACCAGATGACGCCAAAAGGCGCACAACTCAAGGACAATGCACCATCAGAGTATGAGAGCTCGGGGCAAGCATCTACACTATGGGGACCTCATTTGCCAGTAAAAATATGATAATTGGTTCTTTACCCTTCTATCTGGCAACAAAACTGATAGAAGGGTAAAGAACCAATTATCATATTTTTACTGGCAAATGAGGTCCCCATAGTGTAGATGCTTGCCCCGAGCTCTCATACTCTGATGGTGCATTGTCCTTGAGTTGTGCGCCTTTTGGCGTCATCTGGTCCAACCCATATGAGACTAGGCTCGAAGGAAAGCTGTCTCGGGTGTGGACCAATCAACTTCAAGGACAGTGCACATTATCAGAGTTATGTCTTTTGTTTGTATTTATGACTGCAGGTATTGCGGTCTATGCAAACATGACTCCTTGCAAAAAGGTGTCAGTTTTGTTGCCAGATAGAAGGGTAAAGAACCAATTATCATATTTTTACTGGCAAATGAGGTCCCCATAGTGTAGATGCTTGCCCCGAGCTCTCATACTCTGATGGTGCATTGTCCTTGAGTTGTGCGCCTTTTGGCGTCATCTGGTCCAACCCATATGAGACTAGGCTCGAAGGAAAGCTGTTTCGGGTGTGGACCAATCAACTTCAAGGACAGTGCACATTATCAGAGTTATGTCTTTTGTTTGTATTTATGACTGCAGGTATTGCGGTCTATGCAAACATGACTCCTTGCAAAAAGGTGTCAGTTTTGTTGCCAGATAGAAGGGTAAAGAACCAATTATCATATTTTTACTGGCAAATGAGGTCCCCATAGTGTAGATGCTTGCCCCGAGCTCTCATACTCTGATGGTGCATTGTCCTTGAGTTGTGCGCCTTTTGGCGTCATCTGGTCCAACCCATATGAGACTAGGCTCGAAGGAAAGCTGTCTCGGGTGTGGACCAATCAACTTCAAGGACAGTGCACATTATCAGAGTTATGTCTTTTGCTTGTATTTATGACTGCAGGTATTGCGGTCTATGCAAACATGACTCCTTGCAAAAAGGTGTCAGTTTTGTTGCCAGATAGAAGGGTAAAGAACCAATTATCATATTTTTACTGGCAAATGAGGTCCCCATAGTGTAGATGCTTGCCCCGAGCTCTCATACTCTGATGGTGCATTGTCCTTGAGTTGTGCGCCTTTTGGCGTCATCTGGTCCAACCCATATGAGACTAGGCTCGAAGGAAAGCTGTCTCGGGTGTGGACCAATCAACTTCAAGGACAGTGCACATTATCAGAGTTATGTCTTTTGTTTGTATTTATGACTGCAGGTATTGCGGTCTATGCAAACATGACTCCTTGCAAAAAGGTGTCAGTTTTGTTGCCAGATAGAAGGGTAAAGAACCAATTATCATATTTTTACTGGCAAATGAGGTCCCCATAGTGTAGATGCTTGCCCCGAGCTCTCATACTCTGATGGTGCATTGTCCTTGAGTTGTGCGCCTTTTGGCGTCATCTGGTCCAACCCATATGAGACTAGGCTCGAAGGAAAGCTGTCTCGGGTGTGGACCAATCAACTTCAAGGACAGTGCACATTATCAGAGTTATGTCTTTTGTTTGTATTTATGACTGCAGGTATTGCGGTCTATGCAAACATGACTCCTTGCAAAAAGGTGTCAGTTTTGTTGCCAGATAGAAGGGTAAAGAACCAATTATCATATTTTTACTGGCAAATGAGGTCCCCATAGTGTAGGTGTTAAAATGTTAAAACACCAAACTGAAACCTTTTTACAAGGAATCATGTCTGCATTAACCACAATGCTTGTGGTCAGAATGCAAACAAAAAAACATGCTCTGATAATATATGCATTTTCCTCGAAGCTGATTGGTCCACACCAGAGACAGCTTTCTTTTGAGCCTTTTGGCGTCCTCTGGTCTTAGCCCGTTTGAGACGAGGCTCAAAAGAAAGCTGTCTCTGGTGTGGACCAATCAGTTTCAAAGACAATGCATATATTATCAGAGTATGTTTTTTTGTTTGCATTCTGACCACAAGCATCGTGGTTAATGCAGACATGATTCCTTGTCAAAAGGTTTGAGTTTGGTGTTTTAACACCTTAACACCTGTTTTGTAACCCCACACTCACCAGTGTGCTAAAGGATGTTCAAATGACCCCCCACCCCACCGAGCCATGCAGCATTGGGAGTTCCTCATCTGGCCGTGGATGGAGAGAAGGGCTCTCTACAGGTACACGGTCTATGCCCACCCCACCCCTCAGAGCTCAGTCACCTGGGGGCAGTTCTAGGGGTCCTGAGGACCGGTGGCGATGCATGGAATGTGTGAATGCCGGTTTTCATTTGGCACGCATGCCACTGTCGCTTTCAAGCTGACAGGGACGTTTTAAAAGTCCTTTATGACTGCTTGAGCTATGCGCGACATGTGGGTGTTAAGTCCCTGGAGCTTCCACTCCCATCTCCACGATGTCTTATTAAAGAAACAGTTGTGCACAAGTACGAATAGTACAAATTCAACATTAACGTCAATAATACATACTCTTTGGTTCTTTCGGTAAAGTCACCGAAAAAAGCAAAGAGTATGGATTGCTGCAGTCACGAAAGCTTCAAATCAATAATACTTCATTAAGAGGAAACATGATAGGCGATGTGTCAGGAAATGGCCCTTCTTCATAGCAGAGTGATCTTCATCTCTCTACCATGAAGTCTGCCTATGAAAACACTAATTTCTCTGCTATGAAGTAGGGCCGTTCCCCAAAATGTCAACTATCATATACTGCACTGTACACCCTTTCCCTTTGAGGGCAGTTTTACTGATGAATGTGTTGAGTGTTAAAACAACAGAAGATTCATACTGTTTGGTTTTGTCGGTAAAGTCACGTAGGTAAAAAATTAAAATAAATTAACTCACGACGTTTCAGAAGCAACTGCAGCAGTAACACCTGATGACGGAGGCTTGTGCTGCTTCCGAAACGTCGTGAGTTAATTTATTTTAATTTTTTACCTACGTGACTTTACCGAAAAAACCAAAGAGTATGAATCCTTGCAGTCACGAAAACTTCAAATCTAGAACATACAGAGGGGCTTTCAGTAGAGCATAACTGGACGTTGTCATGCCGACCTTAGAGTCTATAATCATGAAAGTAATCTGTGACCCAACTTGTTTTTCTATCCGAGATGCAGTCCTGGGAACCATCATTTGCGCAATTGCCCATCTTGTGCTGCACTTTTTGCCAGTGCTAAATATTAAATATTTAAAGTATATTAAAGAAACACTTTATGACTGACGAGTCCCTTCACGTGAACTTAAAATGAATATTGGATGTGGTTATTATGTACTCGCCTATAATCCAGTCTACTTTGAAGTGTGGTTAGCGGATCGCGCTGTGATCCTACGTGTCGCGCGGTAGACACCCATCTGCAATTGCAGCCAAGCGCCTGTATGGAGCAGTGCAGCAAGTAGGTTTCTCACAGCCTGTGTCGAGTTTTGAGTGTTGGCGCCCTATTTTTTTCGGGGTTTTCTCTTTGCACTTCAGTTTCCTCCCAGGTGCATACATAAACCGGCCAAACATTCGAATTAAGGCCCTTGACAAAATTTGGATTTTGATTCAGTGGAACGTTCCAAGCTCATCATCGTCAGCAGCAGCAGCAATGGTGAATCCACTACTGGATAAAGGCCTCCTTCAAGCCGGCTCTACTTCTCGTGGTCTCGCGATGCGACAAACCACACAGTACCTGCACACGAACCGATTTCGTTGCTCCATCTCTTCGCAAATGTCCTGTCAAATGCATTCTATTCCCTGGTTATAGCTTTAGAGCTAAATATAAAACATATTCTAGATTTGAAGTTTTCGTGACTGCAAGGATCCATACTCTTTGGTTCTTTCGGTAAAGTCACGTAGGTGAAAAAATATATAAAATTAAAATAATAAAATTAAATAAAAAATAGATAAATTAAATCACGACGTTTCGATTGCAACACAAGCAATCATCATCATCAGATGTGATAACCACAGCAAGAATTATTTTTTATTGAAGTGGGAGAGATGCCAGAGTTAAGGGGTTTATATAAGTCAGATATGGAGGTGGGGGGGAGGGAGGGAGGAATAAGGGGAGGGAGAGCGTTGCGCACACGCAACTGATGATGATTGCTTGTGTTGTAATAGAAACGTCGTGATTACATTTATTTATTTTAAATTTCTATTATTTTTATTTTATTATTTTTTTCACCTCCGTGACTTTACCGAAAGAACCAAAGAGTATAAAACATATTTTCATAATACAGGCTGGGCCGCAAGTTAGTTACCTGCCCCTGGTAGCCCTAATGTGTGAGGGTCCATGACTGTAGAGAAGGGGCGAGGTGAACCAGTGTGATATGGGTTACAGATCCAGGGCGTGGGCGAGTTGGGGAGGGGGGGTTGCTCAGAAAAGGCTGAGGAGGCCTCAGAAGTGGCCTCATCTGGCAATTCGCCCTCGAACTTCAAAACCTTTTTAAGCGGCCCTGGCTGTGGGCCATGAATTCGTACCCCACCCTGTCCCCTTCGTATCCTCTTTGTCATTGTGTCTCCCACCACAGGTGGGCATCCTGGAGCAGCAGAACAAAGTGCTGAGGGTGCAGTGGCTGCTCCTGCAGGATCGTGGAGCCAGGGGCTCCAAGGTTGAGGCGAGCGTGTTCTTCCAGAGCCAGATCCACGGTCTCCAGCGGCAGCTCGACACTCTGGAGCGCGACAAGCAGCGGCGGCAGGGAGAGCTGCGGCTCGCGCAGGGCCTCGTCGAGGACTTCAAGAACAAGTGCGCGTCGACGCGGCGGATGTGCAGGGATGTGTACAGCGATGCGCCTGGCACCGTTAGGGGAGCAAGTAGTGTAGCAGTGAGCGCGCCGCACTACGAACCCGGCGACCCGAGTTGAATTTCTGCTCACGGCCAACACCAGTGATGATTATCTGAACTGGTCCTGGGCTTCCCCTAGGTCGATTCAACCTCAAATGATGTCCTGGTGGGGAAACAAATGTGGTCGGGCGTCTTGCTGGCCACCCACCGCCTCCTGCGCCATACCGGCCTTCAAAGCTGCTCGCTAGCAGTACTTGCCCCAACAGTTTGTTACAGGCTATACGGGGGATCTTTGTCTTTGTTTGCCTGGCCCATTGGGGATCTTAAGCGGAAATTATTTTTGAAGGCCATTTTATTCATAACCTCCGAATGAAATTGCAATAGAATTAGATGTATAGATAAGAGAGAGAGAGAGATGTAGCGAGATGAGAGAAATGCGGATAAAAGATAAATGTGGAGTGAGATTGGAGAGAAACAGGTGAGACAGAGATGTAGTGAAATTAAAGAGATGAAGACAGTGGCGTAACTCGATCATCAGCTCGGGGGGGTGCGGCAATCGAAAGGTGGGGCCCCAACGTGTTGAAAATCTACCTCATGGTAGTTGTCAAGAGCCATCCCCTGCCCCCAGCCTAGTTATGCTACTGCATGTAGACGATACAAATATTAGAGTGGGATTAAAGAGAGATAGACAGGATAGGTACGTGAACGATTCATGCACGTTAACTTATTTAACTTTTTTTATGCGTGTAATTATTAAAATTTCAGCTGATATTTTATGCACCCCTATTCTCTATGCACATGGGGCCCCTTGAGTTATTCAGGGACCTAAGTGTTTGCTTAGTACTGGTAGGAACCTCCTGGTTACACCAGCCCACAGGGGATTATTGTGTCCATCGTGCAGGGATGGGCTGGGTGGGGAGGGAGGGGCGGGGTGGGGAGGGGCTGGGTGGGGAGGGTGGGGCTGGGTGGGGGGTGGGAGGGGTGGGGCTGGGTGGGGAGGGGCTGGTCACCCCGTGGTGCCCTTATAAAACTCAACGTTTAACCGACTCACGCCGGCTTGTGCCCGCTCTCACAGTCGGGCATATTTGCGGAATACACCACGCCGCCGTTGACCCTGGCCATTGACCGAGCAACCCAACGTTCCTACCAGCTCCCTCCGCAGGAATGTGTTTGGATTAATGCCTTGCGCCACCACTGCACGTATATAGAGCCCGTGTGTCAACTCACGACTGGACGTTTGTCTCCCCACACCGTGCAGGCTGTGAGGGTTATTTCGACCACACGAACCACTCCACTACCGCTCCCCAGGGAGCATTAACAACAACAACCGCCATTCACCACCAAGTGGCGGTGACGTCTCCACGGCGCTTGTGCCAGGCTATGTGCACTTTAAGGCCACGTAAAGTGTCGACAGCCCACTGGCAGGAGGTCACGGGACAGACCCAGGTGCCATGGGTTGACTGACTGAGTGACTGGCCGATGCACGATTTGTGCCCCCTACTATGCCAACGGTAGCACTAATGTCACACTATCACATACAGTGTAAACCTTTAGTATTTTAAAAGTTGAGTTCCACATATAAATTATGTTTCTGTTCTTTTAGGTACGAGGAAGACATATCGATCCGCAACAAGGCAGAGAACGAGTTTGTTGCGGTGAAACAGGTGATGTTCATAACATTTCTGCTGAGATGTTCATCCTATAAACACAATGGCCTATAACTGTATGCCCGGAAGCACAATCACAGAATTATTCAAATAAACTCAACCAACAATGTATGTCGTCTTTGGCAGGATTTCGACGACTCTTGCTTAGTGAAAGCTGAGCTGGAGGCTAGACTGGAAGGACTGAAAGATGAGATCAACTTTCTCAGAGGAATTTTTGAAAAGGTCAGGACCAATTACCTGGCCGCACCCATATGTGTTTTTTCTTCCATTCACGGTGTGTAATCTTAGAACACGGTACTCAGTCAGGCCGCGTTTTACCGCAGTCCCACGCCAGTGCCCTGAACGTGATCCCCACTCTCCATTTTAGGAGCTGCGTGACCTGGAGCCGCAAATCAAGGACACCTTGGTGTCTGCGGGGCTGGACACCAGCCGCAGCATTGACCTGCAAGGGATGATCTCCGATGTCCGCGCTCAGTACGAATTGATCGCTGCCAAGAGCCAGGCCGAAGCCAATGAATTCTACAGAAAGAAGGTAAACACATCGGCAGCAGCAGCAGAAGCCACGGACGTGAAAGGGGATTTCGGCGAGGCAGCGACACCGCCCACTTATCTGCCATGATCACTGAGAAGCGTCTCCCAAGTAGAATGTCAAGTGTCAAGACTTTTTATTTATTTCACTTAGGCATACCCTCCCACCACGCCACCCTGACCAATACATTACAATAAATTCGTTTTGCCACATTCATACTCAATCATCATTATTAATTGTGTCTGTGCTCTGCAGATTTGATTGAATTTTACAAAGCCTGCTGGTGTTGAAACTGCATCAAACCCAAACGATTTGATTTGATAGATATTCGATCACAAAAACTCATCCGAGGTGGTCTCAGCTGTTCTTTAATGCTTAGTCAGATGAAGTGATGAAATGGTATAAAAGTATATATTTATTATAATAAGTGTTTGTTATTTATTATAAAATATCTGATCGAGTCTTAAGACTTTTTCAGGAGGTTCCTGCTCGATTGGTTGGCACATTTCTTTGATGACCATTTTGGCACGTGGGGAGGTAATCTAGAATGCATCGAGATGACGCAAACACGCGCTGCTTGCTTGTTTTACAGTACGACGTTCTCAGCCTCTCGGCCGATCCTACCGACCAGGAGATCCGCAGCAACAGGAATGAAATAAACAATCTGCACGATCAGATCCAGCGCGTGAGAGGTGAAAGCAACGCTCTGAAGAAGCAGGTACGAGCTGCCTGCACTTATATTTTAGCCACAGAGTATTGTTTTCATATGTGCAGACACGGAATGAGTTTGTGTTAAGGTATTGATTTTTGCATTCAACAGGGTCCCATATTTTACATGGAACACTCTTACCAATAACATCTAAAATTCTCACAGCATTTGATTTTGATGAGGCTGATTTTACTGATGAGACCTACCAGGTCAAAACCAATCTATATATTTACTTGCTTATCAAATGCTGCTCAATATGTTGGCCTGGAAATCCAGTAAGCCGATAGAATAATTTCATTTTTTTAAATATGTCGGGTCACAGAGCTCTGCTTATTTTGTTTGTTGGAGGTGATCATCCCCATTGCACCCCCTAATTTGGGCCGAGGCTAAACAGAGGGTGAGCACCACCCACCACCTGCTTGACCACGATGCCGAGCGGTCCTGTGACTCCGGTTTGTGAATACCCCAGCGCGCCAGCCTGCAGGCTGCCATCGCAGGGGCCGTGGATCGAGGCGGGCTCAGCGTCCGCGTGGCGAAGGAGAGAATCGCCCGCCTTGAGGAGGAGCTGCACAAGGACAAGCGGCAGATGGTGCAGCGCGTGCGCGAGTACCAGGAGCTCATGAACGTCAAGCTGGCTCTGGACATCGAGATCGCCACCTACCGCAGGCTGCTTGAGGGAGAGGAGTCCAGGTGGATACCTCAGCATCTTCTATACCCGGCGCCTCCCTCCTGACCAACAACCTTGTCATGTAGCTGTCGAGTGCGCAGGCAGTGCAACTGCACGACAGGGGTACCACGGGTCGGAGGTCCCCAGGCACTGCCAATTCTTCATTTGCTCTGCCCCGTTCCCTCCTATCGCTCGCCCACACCGCTCCGATATAGCCTAGACAAAATACTCAAATTTTCCAAGCACGCAAAATTGCCATAGTTCTTCCTCGCCCCATTGTCGGGTATCTTGGCTATCCCGCGGTCACATTCAGACAGCTGTGGCGAGATGTTCTTTCCGTCGCCTGGTACACATGAGGTTGTGGGTTCCATCCCTAGCCCTGACGATGCATTATAGTTGGAGTCCGCATGATTTCTCTCCAAGTCCTCCGGTTTTGCCCTCCACATTTAGAAACATGCCTTCAGACTTTGGCTGCTACTATAAAGTCCCACGTGTGATGATATAAGCCACTTCGATAAACTATAATGTGTGTCCAGGTGTCCTTTGAAAACAAAGCGAATAGCTCAGTGGACTTTGCTTGGAAATTGTTTAGTTAATTGGTTAGTTTAGGTAAAGTCACGTAGGTATAAAATAAAATAAAAATAAAATCACGACACTTCGATCGCAACACAGATACCGCTGACTGTCAGCAGTTCCCCTGCTGTATCTGTTCCACCTGATGACGGTCGCTTGTGTTGCGATCGAAACGTCGTGATTTAATTTATTTCATTTTATACCTACGTGACTTTACAGAAATAACCAAAGAGTATGGATCCCTGCAGTCACGGAAACTTCAGATCTAGATTGGTCAGTATATATGATTTATAATTTAAATATATTGTAACTAATTGAAACTCGTTCATTTTACAGACTCGGGTGTGTGAAATCGCAGAAGCAGCATTTCAGCCTCGGCTTTGGGAGTGACCTTGTCAACAAAGGTGAGGAGAAGGAGAAGGGAGGGCCCTGATTTAATCGCTCAAGCAAACAGGGGCGGCACTGCTTTGGCACGTCTCGAAGCTGAACCTTTCATGTTTAATAGACATGTGCTCTATTAAAACTTAACAACAATTTAACAGATTTTTTTTATTTTACTAGGTAAGGCCTACTTAGCTATATAGCTCTTTTTCAGACGCAACCCGGCCACAAAATGATAGCTCAACGAAGTGATTTATCACGTGGAAATTTATAGCAGCCAAATACTCTAGTAGGCACGTGGTCACTTGGACGTGTGTACCTGGTATGGCTGTTCTCTCAATCCGCTGCTGGGTCAGGGCCTCCGTATGCTGTGCGGGCCATGGGGGTTCACCTAATTTACCACTCTGGTCAGTGCAAGTTGTTAAAGGTGGGGTGCATAGACGTGGGTACATAGGAGTAGAGTACAACAATGGATTTTTTTTTCCACTGCCCAACATGTAGACCTGCAGCTTATCACAACCTGTTTGTGCATGGTGGTCTATGCAGGCTTAACTTGCTTAGCTTTCGATATCTGACATGATCGGTGCATTGCAGATGATGTGGTACTAAGTTTATGCTGACTTAATCCCACGTGAATATTATTCAAAGATGTGACCTGCGCACTTATGTGTGCAGAGGTAAAGATAATGAAATAATGTGTAACACACACAGATTGTCTGACACAAACGAATTAATATTCGATCGCGACTGGGACAGACCAAGAGTCACTTTTGTATGCTCATCAGAACAGATGTCCCGTTAGTTGCTTCTTGAAAGTGGAGGGAGTTTGGATGACATCAGCACACAGTGATGTGTGTTGAGTGTGACACATAAGTCAGATCGCTCTCTGTGGTTTTTCTTGCCAAGAAATATATTTCTCAGAGCTATACTAAACATTACAATCGCAAACAACTGCGAAATGTAATTTCTGCTTTCGATTTGTACCGTACAACTGTATTCAAACTCGCGTTTGTCCTATTCATATCAGGTCACCGTGGCAGTTTCCAGGCCACGACGAATTTCGACAAGGTGATTAACTTGTACAAGCCTCCCAAGAAAACAGTGGAGATCAGAACCACCGAGACCAGGAATGGTCGAATTCTTTCTGCAAGTTCAGAGTTCATCCATTAGGTTATTGACTTTCCAGGGGACGCTGCTGTTGTGTGACAGTTAGCAAACTTGACTTACAATTCTGAGGTCGACAATTCGTTCTCCCGGCGCTGAAGTTGATGAAAAAAAATTGCCAAATTTAGTGGAACCTCTGTCCACCCAGCAGTAAAAATGGGTTCACCACAGTCAGAATGAGAATCTGAATCTTTATTTATCCTCGAGAAATCCGATAAGCTATGAAGCTCTTTTTCACAAATGTCCAGTCAGAAAGCTACAACAACAAACAATACACGAAACGATCGGCTTGCAAAGTAAATCACAAAAAAATAAACAAGTAAAATAGATCAAGTATTTCGATTTAAAGCTTTCGTGACTGCAGGGATTCATCTTCTTGGTTCTTTCGGTAAAGTTAGGTAGAAGGGAAGTAATAAAATAATAAAAATAAAACAATACAATAATTCTCACGACGTTTCGGCCACAACGCAAGCAGCCGTCCTCAGGTGAAGACCAGGTCTGTCGGAGAGACAGCTGTCTCCCTTCTACGTGACTTTACCGAATGAACCAAGAAGATAGATCAAGTATATGAAGTTCAAATTGCCGATGTGCACCAATTCCCAAGGTTGTGAAAGGCAGCAAAACAACAGCAACAACAGTCCCAGAGCGAACCAAGACAACACACACAGTCCTTCAATGAGTCGATCGGTCGGTCGCGTGTGCTGGGGGTGAAGTGTGGGTACTGCCACCTCTTCCAAGACATGTGGCCAGCTTGGAAGAATGGGGCGAATACCTTCGAATTGATCACGGCTCTTGAAAACTCCATTTTTTGTGGAAACCCTTCTGACAGCAGTTGTTGCGAGCAAGCAATTGCAGGGCTGCCCCTTTATGTTTAATAACATCCTCATATCGATGGAGAGTGAGCGATATAATGCAACGCATTATCTCGGCAAGCGTGTTCTTGCAACGCAACTGATGTAAATGTTTCAGTGAAGTGTGTTTTTACAAGTGAAGTACAATCTACGGTATCGTTTTGTGGTGTACATATATTTACTTTGTCTCGGGTGAATGTAATGTATTCTCATTATATTAGGACAATTCCTATTTACATGTGTTTATCTTTTCAGTCAATCGTGTGCCTATCTGCATTTGGAAGTCGAAACGCTTGCAATATAAAGTTGAAGTTAAAACGACGGTGCGCTTCCAATGTGCTTTTTTGTTTGTTACATCTAAACATTGCCAAAATTGATCAGCTGTGAGACGAGACGAGTGCAAGACCGGCAGACTTTCACAAGACAACTCGAGAGGCATCGCAAAGCCTTCGGGTTATTGTGACATTTGTTACGATTATGCTGGGCCGGTGATGAGCGTGTAACGAGCGTGCAATGATGACCACCACAGTGAACGAGGAGTTACTTCAAAATAAACTGAACGGATCTAGCAGTGGCCACCATCAATCCACTGCTGGATGAAAGCCTGCCCGAGCCGTTGCCAATCCCTTGCTGTCCCGCGATGTAACAACCCATCTGACACCTGCACGTGACCTGATTTCATCACTCCATCTCCGCGGTGGGCATCCTCTGGGGTGTGTTTATTTTTTTCTTCGGCTGCCACGAAGTTGTCGTGAGTCTCGATCGCATCCTCCTGCCAGGACCATGTTAATGCATGCACAATGAAGCCATAACATGGGCCCCACGAGGAGTTCCACTATGCGGGGGGGGGACATCAAAGTTGCCTGCGCGTTCAATATTCAACAGGCAAAAAACACGAATGGTCCTCGGGCAACGACACCACGCCATGTATACACACCTATTATACTTTGTTTACGACCTTGTGGCGTGTAAACAATAGATCTTGTAAAATTTTAATCATCTCGACGAGGTAAAGGCCACCCGTGTTATGTCTGGCAGCTGTTAAGGATTAGACGCGGCGCGCTTGCGCTAAATACTTTTTCTTGGGCACCTTCCACTTTAAATTGCGGGGAAATTGCCACAGGTTTGAGTCTGGAGGGTCGTATGTATGTATGTTGAACTTCTTTCGCACCGTACGTAGTCAACCATGCTTATCGGTGGAGATGTCAACCCAGTGGTGGCGCTAGGCGGACACAAACTCCAAAATAGCAAAAGGCACCAAACCACCTCAAGGGTCCCTGGTATCATGATAAAATAGGAATGCGCCCAAAACAGCTCAAATTCACATCTGAATCATAAAGACACAATAAACGTAAATATCTGATTAATCTCTCTCATCTATATATTTTCTGCAGCTCACTTTTCTCATCTCGCTGTATCTCTATGTTTCATCTACATCTCTCTCATATCACTCCATTTACGTCTCATCCGTATCTCTCTCATAACCTCATTACGTCTCATATCTTTTGTACACATCTCTCTCATCTCTATCTCTTGTGTATAGCTCTTTTATAGTCTCATTGCGAGGTTCTAATTTTAAAGGGGGACCCCGGGAGTGATTTCTGCTTTAGGGCATTCCAATGGGCCAGCAGACACTGCAGTGGCTGCCTTAATGTTTAATAAACTGTGGCCAGGATACGCCGACAGAGACACATGATGGCCACGTACCATGGCCGCTCCCTGTGTCTCTCCCTGCGGGCAAACAGGCACACACGCGTGGGCTGAGAGGGAGGAGCGAGGCATGAGGAGACCCCGTGGGGCGATGCGTGGAGGAGGAGGAAGTAGAGAGGAAACCACGAGGAGGGAGTGTGCAGGGAGGTGTGCGGTTGCGTTGAGCACTCGTGAGCAATGTGTAGGTGGAGTTGTCTGCACGCCCGCGGAAGGGAGTGGAAGGGTGTGAGTGTGGTTTGAGGATGGGTGAGGTTTTGTTTGGGGTGCAGGTGAGTGGGTTTGTGAAGTGGGATGTGAGGCTGTAGGGGTGGGGTGGGGTGCAGGTGAGTGACTATGTGAAGTGGGATGTGAGGCTGTAGGGGTGGGGTGCAGGTGAGTGGGTTTGTGAAGTGGGATGTGAGGCTGTAGGGGTGGGGTGGGGTGCAGGTGAGTGACTTTGTGAAGTGGGATGTGAGGCTGTAGGGGTGGGGTGCAGGTGAGTGGGTTTGTGAAGTGGGATGTGAGGCTGTAGGGGTGGGGTGCAGGTGAGTGGGTTTGTGAAGTGGGATGTGAGGCTGTAGGGGTGGGTTGGTGTGCAGGTGAGTGACTTTGTGAAGTGGGATATGAGGCTGTATAGGTGGGGTGGGGTGCAGGTGAGTGACTTTGTGAAGTGGGATTTGAGGCTGTAGAGGTGGGGTGGGGTGCAGGTGAGTGACTTTGTGAAGTGGGATGTGAGGCTGTAGGGGTGGGGTGGGGTGCAGGTGAGTGACTTTGTGAAGTGGGATGTGAGGCTGTAGGGGTGGGTTGGGGTGCAGGTGATTGACTTTGTGAAGTGGGATATGAGGCTGCAGGGGTGGGTTGTCAAGTAGGTGGAAGGGTAGCGAGGAGTGTTCTGGCCGAGGATCAATAGTTTACTGACGTGGTAATGCAAAGACACACGCCTGGCGTTTACGAAGACTTCCCCACAATGTGTACGCCCGCTTCTCACACAGGGTGCGTCCCGGTCGCGCCATTCGTTTGTTGATTGAAATTAACCCCAAAGTCGCATGCAAACTTCTGCGTGCGGGTGCCCGTTTCTTCCTCGTGCCTGCAAAATCAGCATGCGGTAAAAAAAAAATCAGTTGCTCAACATTCCTCCTGATGACGATCGCTTGCGTTGTGATCGAAACGTCGTAGTTTTTTTTAATTTTTATTAATTTGAACCTACCGACGTGACTTTACCGAAACATCCAAAGAATATGATTTCCTGCAGTCACGAAAGGTTTAAGTCAAGATTCGATGCTGCTATTTACTGCACCGTATTCTCCACGTTGTAAGACGCGCTCCCACACGGGTATTCGGCGTCAATACAATTGTACAAATCTGGTCACACACACGAGCACCTAAAATATGGGGGGGGGGGGGGGGTGGAGTGCGTCTGAACGTCGGTAACGAACTCGTGTCGCAGCGAGCGGCGCTGCGTGTAAATGCGCACGAGGAGTGGTGCCGTGTAATGTCGCTTGCGACGCGAACATTCACAACGGCAATGTCGACTCAAGAAGGCGAATTGCTGAGAGGTGGGGGGGAAGCCTTTGCCTAGCAGTGGATTGACCATGGCTGATGATCGCGATGATAGAGGCATATTCGACAGCCGGTTCTTTTGATGTCGATCACCGTCGCCCGTGCCCCTGACTGCGAACTTAGCAAGTTAATGACTCAGCACAAGGACTGACGTTCATTATTAATTGTACTTTGTGGTAAACTGGCAAATTGGAATTGCTCAGTGACCACGGCTATACTATCACAGCACCTGAGTTTGATTCCTCGACGTGGTGTAGATCAGCGGTGAGTGATACATGAGCCTCTTCGAGACCCCCTTTCATCAACCCGCGGTGCCCGGCGTGAAGACGTGCTGCCAAACAACTCATCCAGCAGTGGATTACTGACACATCATGTTAAACATCTCGCCGCGGTGGTGAGATGTTAACTACCTCGCCTGGTATGCAGGAGGTCCTGGGTTCGATCCCGACCCTGAAGCCTGCTGCTGTATATTTGGAGTTTGCGTGTCTCTCTCCCCGTGGTCGCGTGGATTTTTCTCCGGGTCCTCCGGTTTTCCCCTCCACATTTAGAAACACGCGTTGGAAGTATTCGGCTGCTATACATTTCCACGTGATAAGCCACTTCGTTGAGCTATCATTTGTGGCCAGGTCGCTTCTGAAAGAGAACTATATAGCTCAGTGGAGCTTCCCTGGCAAAATAAAATATAGATAGTTTAAAGTTTAGTCAACAGCATCAACGTGAAGTGTCGCTGAACGTGGATGCACAGCGCCTCCCGGGCAGACGCAGCACAAGACACGGCGCTGAACGCATTGCACACCATTCGCATGCGTTTAGAAATATCGAGTGTACAGGCGGTGCAACTGCACCGCGGCCTATATGTGCTAATCATGATGTGGGGGGGGGGGGGGGGAGGGAGGCAAATAAGGGGGCCTCAGTGGCGCTTATGTAACAGACACCATAGACGCCGTATTTCTGCGGTATGCGGAGTCGGAAAAACTCACGAGTCACATTTCACTGCGCGACGCCTCGTGTACTGTCTGCACGTCTGTGCTGTCCGTTGCCCAAGGTGCAGACATGGACGTGCGCCCTTGATCTGGTGTCACGTGCTGCGCCGTAGCTGACACTCGACGGCAGGACTCAATCCTGAATTCGATTCCACTCGAAATGGCAGCGTATAGGCAGCTTGGACATGACTTGTTGCTCCACAGAGCTTCGGCGCACAGACACATCTTTTGAGGATTGGGCGTTTCCACCCCCGCGCCCCTGTTGATTGTCTGCTGGGCTCACATCGCTCCGTGGCCATTGTCGGCTCTTTGCGTACTTAGCCAACCGACTAACACGGTCGGCTGCGTACGGTGCGAAAGAGGTTCAACTTATCGATTTAAAGCGTTCGTGACTGCAGGGATTCATCTTCTTGGTTCTTTCGGTAAAGTTACGTAGAAGAGAAATAATACAATTTATTATTTTATTATTTCCCTTCTACGTGACTTTACCGAAAGATCCAAGAAGAGGTTCAACATAGATGCACGGAAGGCATTGTCCACAATGTGTTTAGATATTAGCTACTTACAGCTGCTCAAGCAAGCACGGCCTCCATGTAAGACGTTGTATAATTCACTTTTTTAAAGGCAAGTCAATATGAGCGGTGGAGCCGTGGTTAGCGCACTGCGCCATGAACCCAGATACCTGATTTCGATTCCTAAACGCTAATTGACATGAGTGGCGAGTGAGATATGAAACGGTCATATTCCCTCCCCCCCGTCCTCTCATCTCACCCCCCTGCATGTATCCAAGCCGCACTGACCAACGCAGTGAAGCGTGGTCAAACAACCCTTCGACCAAGGAGCGTAAACCACCACGTGCACTCCGGTGGTGATAGCAGCAGCGGCGGCGGCACCTTTTTGGCTTAACCATCGAACAAAGACGGTCACTTGCATCGCGCGCTTTCAGATGCGTTTCTGCGGCCGTCTGGAACGCTCTTCCTTCCGATATTAAAAAGCCACTGGGGACTATGCACATTTAAGTTTAAAGTGAGAACTCGTTTCTTTACAACTGTCTTATTGTGTTTAGTTTGTTGTCCTTCCCCCGCACGCTGCGGAAAAAGTTCAACATACGTACATTCGACCGACACGGCGTGGATACGTTTCCATACAGTAGACTGACAGAGGGATGCACATTAATACGTATGATAATAAGTTCAATCTGTGTCATTCTCGCACAATTATCAAACGTTCACGTGCAATGGATGTGAGCACGTGTCGTACAGCGAGAGTAGCAGCTGTATCATTTTAGAGAGCCGAACACCCCCCCCCCCCCCAGGTAATGAAGCTGACACGTGTACGGTAGAATGTGTAGTCTATACCAAACAATATACATACAGCATGCCGCTTTATTTTGCGTGCCCTTGAATTTTGAATTAGTTTGAGAATCAGAAGAGATTTGTTATTGAGTGGCTGGTTTTTCTTTAGCAAGAATAATTACCGAACTTAAAATAGACTTACGTCGGCAGTGGTGCAGAGCACAATTCAAAAATGTTTACCGTCATATAAGAAAAACATTTAAAGTGTTGGATATATTTTCCGGAAAATACCGAAAGATCTGGACCATTGCCCAAAACGTTATCCGATAAAAAAAAATCTGAAAAACGCTGCGTTAATAAACGAAGGTGGTGAGGTTTTTGTTTGTTTAAGTGTCTGCTTTGGCACATTTGACATGTCTTTTCTAGCACGTTACGAGTTGTCTCAATGCACGTCTCGTTGATCATCAACCCCAGTGGCTTGCCTCGAGTAAGGCGGCTGGCGCGCCTCGACGAGACCAAGGCAATTGCCGAGACGCGCGTGATCCAATGAGCGCCATCCACACAGCCCGGTGCCGAACCCTGACGCATTCACCTGTAGGGGAAAAGGAGGGGTCCAGCCAATGAGAGAGTCCACGCCCGCGCTCGCGATTCGAGTGGCGTCCACCCCAGCGTTATATAAAGGGCGCACCGTTGGGGTGGGATTTTGGGCGCTGTCTGATCGCTGCCGACACACGCACCACTTTCTCCCTGCACACTCGGGACACGCATCCCACTCTGCACCGCCAACCATGTCTTACAGCATCAAGTCCAGTGGTGTGTCCAGCGTGAGCCGCAGCCGCAGTTCTGGCGGCAGCTCCATCAGGATTGGTGGTGGCGGCGGCGGTGGAAGGTCGGGAGGGTTCAGCAGCCATTCCCAAGGCTTCGGCGGCGGCGGTGGAAGTCGCTCCCGCAGCAGCTACAAGTCCGGCGGCAGCAGCTATGGTGGTGGTGGTGGTGGATTCGGGGGGATCTCGGCGTCTTTCTCATCCCAGGTGGCAGCGGGGCCCCCGCCAGAGATCGACCGCAGCATTCTGCCCGTGCGCAACCAGGAGAAGGAGCAGATCAAGGGCCTGAACGACCGCTTCGCCAACTTCATCGATAAGGTGGGTGCACGCATGCAGGAGACGCGGTCTCGATTCCTCGCGCCGTCTCGCGCTGAGCTCTCCGTGACTTGAGCGTTGACGTTCATCCGTCTAGCTGCATCGCGGAACTTGTTTTGCTAACTGGTGTCGCAAATGTGATTAATTGCAAAATGTGTGCATTTTTACAGTGATGTTCACATTCTCGTAGTAGCCTGTTGTCACGACAGTAAGTTTGTATGACAGACCTGCAACGTATCTTGGTCTTCGTTTTTCATGCTTTGTTTTAATTGTGGTAACGGGAAGAGTAAATATGTACCTAACAAGAACTGTGACAGACACGCGGACAGTAACATAGAGACACGCAAACAAAGATGCCCCGTATCGCCTTAACAGACTAGCACGTAGGCATTCGCGACCAATATCATTCCAAAAAAAATCCTCTTATGGATGCCTTAAGACTGTTGGGGCAAGCGCTGTTAGCGAGCACCTATACACGCAAACAGCCACCACACGCACACGCAGTCACGCCGACGCACGCATGCATATCCATCGAGACGTGCACACACCTGGAGCACTGATCAGACGCGTTCTTTCCACCCGTGCAGGTGCGCTTCCTGGAGCAGCAGAACAAGGTGCTGGAGGCTCAGTGGAGGGCCCTGCAGGAGCGTGGCAGCGGAGGCTCCAACCTGGACTCGCTCTTCGAAGCCTACATCAACGGGCTCAAGCAGCACCTGGACGGGCTCGGCAACGAGAAGCAGCGCCTTCAGGGCGAGCTGCAGCACATGCAGGGCGCTGTCGAAGACTTCAAGGCCAAGTGAGTTGAAGGGCGAACGAAGGGCGGCTCGTGGCCGTCACAGGGCAACGTAGCGTAACGCTCTTCTGAATGCGATGTATCTCACAGGACCGCATATCACGAGACCACAGCATCATTGCATAAGACCACAGACATCTCACGATATCGTAAAATAATCTCACAAGACCACAAAGACACCGAACAGAGATCACAAAAGAACATAAATAAATTTCGCCGTGACAATCATTGTCAGATAGCAGAACTATTTGTGTATTAAACTCACGTGTTGGAAAGTAATCTTGCTCTGTAGAAGAGTCGTTGCCCAAAACGTTGATGATGTATTTTTTTTACTGTGTGATTTCACACCAAGCCATTAAGTTTGATCTGTAGGTCTCTAGAAATGCAAACCAGTGGCTGCTAGGTACAGTATATACGCATACATGTGTATATACCGGGTATAAAACACTGCCGGGCGTCAAGACGCCACTTGCGGCCACATTCAGACTCGGTTGACTCTGCCCAAATCACCTTACTCCAAACCTGCACCAGAGACACGTTGCACCAAATACGTCCCCTCAAGGCCTCGAACATCTGGGGGTGCAGATCTTCTCTGCATCCTCAGGTCATAGAGGCTACGGTCGGTTGGAGCGACAGATATTTTCCCCCTTGTAGCCCCCCCTCCCCCGACTCTGGAACTCTATTCCACGAGATATCAGGATCTCTGAGTCTGTGGACATTTAAAAAAAAAACACGTCCTAAAATGTATTTATACACTTCTGTTTATTCACCGACAAATTAATTCAGAAAATGGCTTTGAGAATGTATTTTTTGTTAAATAAGGTATGCTTTATGTTGAGTGTTTGCTACTCGGTCTTGTATAGCGCTTTGCGATCCTTGATAATAAGCGCTTTATAAATGGAATTAGAATTACTATATTCATGCCATAAAATAAATACGCAGACAATACACCTCTTTTTAAATCTGTCCCTCTACACATCCTATCAGCCACACGGCCTTTCGGGAGTGATTTTTTTTCTTCTTGTGTTGTTATATCATAAATTCCACGGGAACTTTATAAATGCAAAAACGTGAAAAGATACGGAAGGTACACGACATTTGCACCCACCCAGGTAACGTCCAGCAGTAGAATGGCCAAGACCAAAGATGGTATCAGTGCAAATAAAATAAAAATACACAATCAGTGCAGAATATCGAACAGCACGTACATGAAAACCGAGATAACATAAAGTAAAACACTACGCTTCACGTACAAGTGTAAATTAACAATACGTGGGCGGATAACTTTTATTTAAACAAAAGAACTCCCCCCCCACCCCACACACTCTAGCCGTACATTGAACGCGCATTGACATCGCTCGGTGCCCGTGTACGCAACGTGGTCCCTTTCATCGTCCGCGCGTCTCTCGGCGAGCCACACCTTGAGATCCACTTGAGAGCTAAAGGGCACGGGGAGGGAGAGAGGGGGGCGGGGTGTTTGGAGCCGGGGTGTGGTCGGCCGTACCCCTGAGGCCGAAGCTCTCGCTTGTAGAGGAGGGGAGAGGTAGGGCGTTGTCCCCCCAGTCCCACCGTGCGCTCCTGCTTGAGGACGCCGTAGCGGACGAGTTTCTTCAAATCCAGGAGCCTTTAGGTCCCAGTGGTTGGATTCTGGATGGCTGTGGAAGTACGATGGCACTTTAGGAGCGCGGAAGATGTATGGACTCCTCGTAAAAAACAGTTCTCTCGAATTTGACAAAAACGTCTCACGCGCACATGAGATCGTGCGATGCGATCTCATGTGCGCTGGAGTCGGCACAAATAAGCTGCCGCATTTGGTGAAAAATACATCTCGCAATTTACATCCCTTTGACAATCTATTGCCGAAGGTATTGCCCACGCTGTGTCGGCCATAGAGTTTGACGATTACTCCACCACGCCGGTCAGTCCGAGTTGGTGTCGTCGGGTGCTGGAGGGTGGGGATTCACTTGCCACTGATGTTGGCTGTGGCCCGGTTTATATATCAGTGCGCTGAGATTGATTGTGCATGGAGACTACACGTTTTATTTGTAATTTAGGGAAGATATATCGGATAAGAGAATTTGCGGATAGGATTAAGGCAGATAAGAAGCGGTGAACTGTATATTAAATGCACGCATGAGATTATATTTGGGTCCATTTGTAGATACCCCAGAGAAAACTACATTCGATTATAATGTCTCTTACATGGTCTCCCACCAATCTCACTCCACTCTAACGTTCACTCATTTGTTGAGGAATAAAAAGGGAGGGTCATCAGAAATGAGTGGGGTATCTATAAACGAATCACTCACGATGCCCTACACTTCGCGACGATCATTAATTACGGTATTCTCCAATTTAGACTTAAAACGTTCGTGACTGCAGGAATTCATATTCTTAAAATCACGTAGATAGAATACAAAAAATCAAAATTATCTCCACCTGAAGAAGACCGCTTGTGTTGCGATCGAAACGTCGTGGGTTTTTTTTTTGCTTTCAATTTAGATTTTTTTTTTCTATTTACGTGACTTTACCGAAAGAAACCAAGAATAATATATTCTCCAAGTTACAAGGCGCATGTTTTCCCCAGTAATTTAAAGCAAAAGTTGGGGTTTTCATCTTATCATCTGGTGTGTGTGTGATCAGATTTGTTTAACGTTATTGACAACGGGCAACACGTTTGAGATGCGTCATTATTATCCGGATAATAATCTCGCTGATTGTGCAGCAATGAAAATGTGTGGACCTGACTTGTGTGAACGCACGGTGCTTTGCAGGTACGAGGAAGAAATTAACACCCGCACCCAGAGAGAAAACGAGTTCGTGGTCGTCAAGAAGGTGAGTGGAGTCCTCACTGATCGATGTGTGTGCCACGTGCTACGCTATATGTAGACGTACAGCTCGTTTGCGTCATATTCACTTGCTGCCTGTAAAATGTTCTCAGGCATTCTCGACAGCAGGGGCTGTTGTGTACTTGGCACAGCGATCCTAAGAAGTGCACGTGTGTCGCTTCTGTGCTGCAGGAAGTCGACGACGCCTTCCTGAACAAGGTGGAGCTGGAGGCCAGGCTGGATGGCCTCAACGACGAAATCGAGTTCCTCAAGAAGATCTTCGCCGAGGTGAACAAAAAACACCACACTCACAAAAAACATTCACTACATCGACTACGCCCCTAAAGCCCGCGAGCTCAAAGAGCATCGGACGACCACCCACGTGTCCATTGGCTGCCCTGAACCTGTGGGTTGGAAGGTCCACATTACCGTGCAGGGGGCGGGTGGAAGTCTGTCGATGGAAAGGCCACTGTTGAAATTCTGACAAAGTGGGACAATACGTCGCATATCCGGCCATTACATAGCCGCCCTGACCAATAAACCGACCACACTCAGAATCGTGATATTTATTTATCCTGGAGAAATCCGATGAGCTATTAAGTTCTTTTTCACAAGTGTCCAGTAGCATTGTGCCACAGGCATTTTCTATAGTTGTTCACATATCCGACCTTTTTGCTTATCTGCCTATGCCTCAGTTCCCAGTGAGTCGGATATGTGACGTTGTGCTGGGAGGGGGTGGAGGGCTGAGCACGCCCTACTGAAGGCTCAGCCCCCCCTTTTAAATTCTTACTCAAAAGTCAATGGATGTCCTGCTGCCTGAGTCGGTGCTGGAAATTCCACCTTCCTATGACAGGGGCAAGTTAATCCAGAGCGCAACCACTATTCGCTTCCCCACATGATGGTAACGAACTCATGCTACCGATCCGAGAGGGTTGAAGAGCTGAGTCGACTTACAACCCGGATCCGACATTAGGATCTTCCGATTGATGGTTCAGTGTCCTTCAGTTGCCAGCCACTAACACGAGTTTAACTGTTGTGCCTATCGTGCACCTGTGGTGCCGAGCCTACACGACTCAAACTACCTCGCCTGTGGGACCTCTGAGACGTTATTATACCTGTCCCACTAGAACACTACGAATCTACGGTGTCCGTCTGTTCTGGGATACGACGTGAGGGCCAGGAGAGGGGAGGGGCAGTGAGCCCCCCAGAAACGTCAACCGCACCCTCCAACTACAAATCACTTTGCAATACGGCAGTGAATCCTGTGGTTGCCATAAATTTTGACTTAAAACTATCGTGACTGCAGGAATTCATATTCTTGGTTCTTTCGGTCAAGTCACATAAATAACAAAAAAAAATCCCAAAAATTTTAATAAAATAAAAATATTTTAAATAAAAGTTAAAATAATAAATTTAAAATAATAAAACTGTAGTTGCCATTTAATGTATTCAAACGGTAACAAGCATGTATTATTAACACATTTTTTTATATTGTTAAAATAAATTAATAAAATATATGTGTGACATCCTTTTACGTCCCACATATACAGACTTAACTATGGATGACTTCAGCTATTAAACAGCATTGGTCAGTGGAGAGACGCTGTAGCCAGAGGGAGTGGGTGGTGTGGTTGGAATCTGCAGTGGCCGACCGTGAATTATCGTTACCCCCTCGGCTACAGCTCCTGTGCACATAAAAGTTCGTGTTGTTTCCCCCCAATCCATCAGTACTCACCCAGCTCCCACCATCCACATGCCTGCCCAGACCCCCACCTACACCGCAGACCTCACCCCAACTCCACCAAGGAGTCACTTCACTGCACTCCCCCCACTCATCCTGCTCGATTGTGCCGCATGTGATCAGGAGCTGCGCCAGCTGGAGTCACAGATCAAGGACACGTCACTGTTCGTGAGCGTGGACACCAGCCGCAACCTGGACGTGGATGGTCTCATCGCTGATGTGCGTGCCCAGTATGAGGCCATGGCCAGGAAGAGCCAGGCAGAAGCTGACGATTTCTACAAGAAGAAGGTAAATGCATGTGCTATGCCGGGTGGTGCAGGTGTGTTTGTCTGTGTGCAATTGTGACACTCCATGAATGTTGACATTGTCAACGTGAGTAAATAACGTTTTTCCTCTGGTGAGAATTAAATTTATGAAACTCGTATGCATATTCGTTAAATGAACTGCCTTTCCAGTCAAATTCAAAATATGGATTTGGAATATATAGTAATTTTACCATCGTACTTATCATAGCATCTTTAGTGCTGCCACGTTCATGTTTTCTCCATTGTGTAATACTATGGAGAAGACCTCTTGTGGCCAGGTGCATAAACCTCCTGAAATGAAAATGCTCCCATTTGTTAATTGAATTGCAAAAATACCACTTAAGCTATTTACGCAAACCAGTTAGTGGCACTTGAGAACCAACTAGATGGTGAAAGGTAACAGCTTTTTCACGAGCCATTGTTTACGCGTCAACATGCGACCTCTGCCCCCTGTCGTTGGAAAAAAAAACGAATGACAGATCACAGAACTCAGCTCCTCCGCTGGCAAGGGAGACGATGACGTCCGCAACAGCAGGAACGAGATCAACGAACTGAACCGCCAGATGCAGCGCATCAAGGCAGAGATCGAGGCTCTGAAGAAACAGGTACGACCAGTGGGAGAGGAGTGGGTTTGTGAGAACTCCTCGCGAGAGCGGGCCCCACTCGTGAAAAACAGTAAAACTAACTTTTTTTTAACAATACTTTCCTTGCTCATTCATCATCAGTAGCTGTGGTCAATCCATTGCTGGATGAAGGCCTCCCCAAGCCGCCGCCGCCTACTCCTCTCGCAATTCTAAATTTGAAGCTTTCGTGACTGCAAGGATTCATACTCTTAGTTCTTTCGGTAAAGTCACGTAGGTAAAAAAAAAATGAAATTAAAATTAATCAATTTATTTTGATAAATTTTAATTTCATTTTTTACCTACGTGACTTTACCAAAAGAACTAAGAGTATCCTCTCGCAATCCCACGATGTCAAAAATACACCAAGCACCTTTACACAAACTGATTTCATCGCTCCACCTCCTCGACGGACGTGCTGTGCTCGATGCACGCTCTCCCAGATGCGCTCTGCTCACTGCAAAGATGATAAAACTGCCACCATAAGTGTACCCTGCACCCTCCTGCCTCCATGACTCCCCCCCCCCATGCCCCCTCCCACCTGCGGGATTCCAAATCCACGAATCGCCACTGGGCACTTCACGTGTGCGGACTTGCCGTGACATATGAACGCCAGGCATTGTACAAACATTGGCTCACTTGCCTGTTTTTTTCACGCAACCAATGAGTCTTTATTTATGCAACCCACTTCAAAGCAATAAAGAGTGCTTTATATAAAATAACATTTACACGAATGCCCAACACTTAGAAGATATGAAATACAGTACTGTAAAATGCATTTAGTCTAAAATAAAGCAATCTACCCGAGGGCCTTGGCAATGTGATTTCAAACTATACAAAAACTTAGATTCGTAATAAAGACCAGATAATTTAACAACATTATTGGGTAGAGTTGGTATACGTAGCATCGTCTATTTGTGTGGCCATTAATACTCTTTTTTGAAGCCCTAAACAAAGCTTGCATATGCATGCATAAGCACATGCTTCCCCACTTAAAATTGGTCATTGCATCTAACCTCTGGGAGCATGGGTACTTTCAAGCTTCGAAAATGCAATTTGCACTTGACATTTTCAAAACATAGCAGGCTGCTTCAGATATTCGCACAGGAGGAATGTTTAAAATGCAATTTAAGTCGCCGTAGAGAACCAAGGTTACATCTCATCATTATAATTGTTGGCCTCTGGCTTGTTGAATGGTAACACTTTAGGCACACGTGTGCCGAGTAAAGCTGTAGAATAACATTTTAAGTGCCAAGGTTTTAGAACCCGGCACGGCAGTAGAAACAATGGACCAGTTGCATTAAATTCCCACCCCCGCCTGTGTCTACCCATCAGTAACAAAGTGATGCGCCACAGTTTCCTTGGTCGACCGGCAGGTTGCACGTGATGGTGTAGAGTGTGGCTACTCCCACCTCTTCCAATTACGTATGGTCAGTGTGAAAGTGTGGGCTCAAAATTCCCGCTTAGAGTCGCTCCCGAGAGCTCGCTCTGGTGGGAAGCCCTTCCGTACGTATGCATGTGTATTGTGGGACCTGTTTTTGTTGAGCTTCTATTTTTCACACGTCGAACTTCTTGCGCGCCGTACCCACGGCGTTGAGATAACGTCTGCGCGTCGTGCTTTCTCGCTCCGCGTGCACAGCGCGCCCAGCTGGAGGCAGCCATCTCGGAGGCGGAGGGCCGCGGGGAGATGTCCATCAAGGAGGCGAAGGAGACCATCGCCCGCCTGGAGGAGGAGCTGCACAAGGCCAAGCAGCAGATGGCGCAGCACGTGCGCGAGTACCAGGAGCTCATGAACGTCAAGCTGGCTCTGGACATCGAGATCGCCACCTACCGCAAGCTGCTGGAGGGAGAGGAGTCCAGGTGGGCGGAGGGGAAACTTTGATGTAGAAGCTCAGCGGTCCATTTGCGAAGGGTGGGGATGACTGTGGGGAGTGGGTGCTGCGGTAATGATCGTTCCGGGCACCAGGGCTGATTCACGGGCTCTTGGTCTGGGTGTTTAGGATTGACCCGGCTTGAGCTCTCTGCAGAGCTGATAAACCGTATATTGAGCGCAGCAAATGAATGCTTCGCGAGCAGTTAGCCAAACAAGCATTTGTCTAATGAATGTAAATGAGTGTATCTCTTTTGCAGGAGGTACATTTGCAAAAAACATATTAAATTCGTTTGTTGCAGTAGTAGGTGTGGTCCAGAATACATTGCTTGTCAATTACCCTGGCAATGCGGTGCATACTCCTTCAGTCTGGTATTGATGTTGGAATACCAGACAAAGCGAGTGGACATTACCCTGGTATTGTGGACATTACCCTGGTATTGTGGACATTACCCTGGTATTGTGGACATTACCCTGGTATTGTGGATTTGACCCTGGTATTGTGGATTTGACCCTGACGCTCTAGTATCTTGGATTCCATTCCGCTAATGTGGTATCGTGAACATAGCTCTGCCGTGACACTGGTCTTCCGATGCTGTCCTTTTTCTTTCGGCCGGCACGCACAGGCTGAATGCCGTTGCGTCCGGCATTGCCAACCTTGCCGGGGCCATGAGTGGAGGCGGCGGTGGCGGCGGCTACGGCTTCTCAAGCGGCGGCGGCGGCGGTGGCGGTGGCGGCAGTAGCTACGGCTTCTCAAGCGGTGGCGGTGGCGGCGGCGGTGGGTCAGGTGAGCGCTTCGAGAATTTTGACTGCTATAAAAGTCCACGTGATAAGCCACTTCGTTGGACGATCATTTGTGGCCAGGTCGCTTCCGAAGTTGAGCTATATTGGTCTGTGGACCTTGCCCGATGAAATCAAAATACTTTCGTTTTAAACTTTTAGCGTCTCACTTTCTCTCATTGGTCAGAACGGTTCACCAAGCGCATGAATATTACCGACACGACTCCTGTCGTATTTTTACTGACTTTAACGACGACTACGACCACGGCTGCATAGGTTTTCATGGTCGCGCTGTGTAGCTCTCAAATGTGGTTTTGCGTTGTCGCGTGTCGTTTGGCACCATGTCTGACGTTTCACTCCATGTGCTGAGGCTTCCTCAGCTCCTTTTCCCAGCACATGAGGCGAACTGTCAGGCATCGTGCCGAAAAACACGTGGATAAAACTGGAAAGCACTTAGGAGAATTTTGCAGCCTTTTCTTTGGTTGGAGCATGTGTTTCTTATGGTGTTATTTTAACTTGCGAAAAAATTGTACCTTAACGTGAGCGAAAGCATTTTATGATCCAGAAATGATGACTGCTATGCCAAGCACTTGCGTTTACTTATATAGCCCCGTATCAGTGATGCCTGTCATACGTAGGGACATTCTAGCGCTTGCAATGTGTTTGCTGCGTCATGTACTTTTAACGAGTGATTGCATTTAAGACATATCGTTCTTTCCTAAGCTCAACGTATCTTTCCCGTCATAACTGTTTCATCTCATTTTTCGCCTGCCGCAAACCGGAAGTGCAACTCAATGCATCCTCTGACGCGCCCACGCGGTGCCTTTGCGTCTTCCTTTTCCCCAGGATTCAGCTACGAGTCCTCCAGTATGAGCAGCAAGAGGAGCTACTAAAGCGACACTCAACAAGAACATCAACAACGAAAGTGTCCGTACCAGCCAATGCTCCCCAACTGACACCGGTGGTCGCCTGTGCTCGTTTTTACAAAAGGTCGTTGCATGGGTATAGTGGCCGTCGGAAGGCATGAAATTTTTACTGCATGTGTATCCTTAAGTGACAGTAAAGAATGGGTGGCGGGTTGTGAGACTTGGAAGAGGGCGTCGTAATTGGGTCCACAAATGTGCTGGTCTTGGCGTGTAGGGAAAAGCTTTGTACGTTTTCTAATAAGCCTGATGTTCTCCGATCTTTCACGCTGTTGGCCACTATCTCTGCATGCACCCTTTTTAATAGAAAGAATAAAGAAACACTCCTGGTACTTAACGACGCGTGTTTGTGCTGAACTGTGGGTGTGATTGCTGTGTGAGATCCGGGCGTCAGTGGGCACGATCGTTTACTCGCACATTTGCACTGGCAGTAGCAATGATAATAATACAGGCAGGGATGTCGCAGGAGACATCCAATCATAACACCGTGATCAATCCACTGCATCTCGCACGATCCTGAAATGTAATAATCTACCTTGGAATACATCAAATAAATAACCTAAATGGTTAGTAAATGTTTCATGTTTAATGTCCTCCCATTTCTGGACACATGGTCTCATTACAGTCCATCAATTTGAAGCAGAATTTTACACATTAGCTATTTTAACCTATATATTTTTGAGTAAATACTGGCCACACAAACACTACAACATACAACATCGATATAATAAATACTCTACGTAAAGTTAGTATTGGCATTCATTATCAGGATCAAATACTGATGTGACTGATGTCAATTATAATGGTATTCAAGAAGCGATGTAAATCTGAAAATTTGCACATTACAGCTGTCAAGTATGAGCTTAGAACGAGATACATTAATTAAAACGCCGCAATTATTGGGATTTAATTCCCCAATAATTATGACCTGAAGGTTGGTTGCGCTCAACCTAAGGTTATAATGTTGTAAGTCTCCTACAAAACACTTACAAATGTATACGATGCTCACAATCATGTGGAGTGTGACGCGTACGTAGGCCAACCGATTAGCACGGTTGGCTACGTACGGTGCAAAAGAAGTTCAACGATTAGAAAGCGACTGATGCCTGCTGCCAGTTATAGTACACGCGCTCTTAGGTGGGTGTAGCACTGATGGCAAAGTGATACACATTTGGGCAAACTATACTTTCGTTACTAAAACACCTTGACTCTACTAGGATGTGTACACGCACAATTCATATCACATTTTGACGTTGAGCAGAACAATGGGGCTCATCAACACCGCCAATCCGTGGCACCAAAGCAAATCATCAACTTAGAACCAGGGCCATTGAATGGATAAAAGAACCTCGACATTAATTTATCACAGTTGTTGTTGTTCCAAAAATCAGTTGCTTATCTCTCCAAAATGCCACACGAAATGAAGAATTTCACAATGGAGAAGCTGGCGACAATACCGCATATGCCAAATGCTGCTGCAATGTATCTGCTAATAGACATGCCACAACTGACCTTAAGGTTAAATGAAAAAAAAAACAAGCATTTTATTGAAGTCATCACCAGCTCTACAATTCTTTATTTTATTTATTCAACTGACCCAGACCAAATGGTTAACTTTGAGTGCCATCTGTGGTGGCAATATTTGTTGCCTTAATGCATTTGTATGGTCTTCCATCACGAGCAGCCATGGTCGATCTCCTGCTGGATGAACGCCTCTCCAAGCCGCCGCCACATCACACGATGCTGCGACGAAATAATCCACCGAGCACCTGCCGAGAAGCTGATGTCATCACTCCTACGTGGACGTTGCCACTCCCATCGTCATCATTATTCTTGATGAACGGCCAACATCCTATCAATCAGTCGTGTCCTGCCCAAGCCCACTTACTTTTGTTGACAGTTAGAATGGTTAGACTTGTCATTAACCTTCTTTTTTCGCAATGTAATTCTAACCGTGCAATTTCCCATGCTTCTCCATACTTATCGAGTTTTTTTTCTCTCAACATTTTTTATTGCTTTTAATGACTGTCTTTCGGAATTGATAAAAACAAACACTAAGGCGTATAAGCGTCTGGTCACGGTGCCTATTATTCTGCTCTACGTTGACTAGAGGAGGCGGATCAACATCGTCAAACTCCCAAACTCGTCGAGGTGCCAGTTTGTCTCGTGGGGGTCGGGTTGCTTGTCCAGATGTCACTACGTGGAGGGGCTGGAGCAGGACAGGAATGGCTTCACTGAGCACTCGCTACTGATGTTAGCCGTGGCCAGGAATTAAACTCAGTCCATCAATACTCTTTGGTTCTTTCGGTAAAGTCACGTAGGTACAAAATAAAATAAATCACGACGTTTCTGGCGCAACACAAGCGTCCATCATCAGGTGGGAAAGCATGGTCTGCTGCTGAGGCAGACTGTTTTAAAACGTGACTTTACCGAAAGAACCCAAAGAGTATGGATTCGTGCAGTCACGAAAGCTTCAAATCAGTTCATCAAGTTTCATTGTAGAACAGAGTAAATCTCAATAGCATAAGAAGAATTTGAAGCACCAAAGATTAATCTCATATGTTTACCAATTGCTGCTCTGATCTAATCCGCGGACTAGTTCAGTACTAACTTGGCTTAGACAAGGGGGCGCTATCACAACCAGTGTTTCCATCAGAGTGATGTCATTATATATAGCGATTTAGTTGGCGGGGGGGGGAGTTCCTCGCGACAAATTGTTGCCAAAGTTGCCAGCGACACATCGAAACGATTCTTTTTTGGGGAATGAGGGCATGCTGCAGATTTAGGAGCGATTCCATATGCGTATTAACGACTCTCTCTCTCTATCAGTTTACCGCTTTGCAATACGCCGGTGTATTGTCTAGCGACATCGTTGACGACTGCATACGGTCTCATCTGGTGACCTTTTTTCGGTTCGCTCGGCGACACTCAAATGAGTCGTGCTTACGACGACACGTCGTCTCGTGCCCAACCACAACGCCGTTCGGCATGATGTCCCACGTGTGGTGGAAGCTTCTTCGGGCACTCAAGAAAGCTCACGGCGCCCGGAGCGAAACGTCAGACGTCGTTCTAGAAGAGCACGGAACGACGTCGGGAGGAGAGTCCTGTTCAGTATCTCTCATCTTTCAATCATCACTCGCGTGGTGATGGGTGCGGCTCCATTCTCCCTCGTCCACCGCAGTGGCACTCCTTGGGGACACCTGTGCTGCACACCACTCTAATTTCCACTCTTGAAATCGGCCCCTCCTTTTTATATTCATATAAAAAAAACTAAAAACTGTACTCAACAAAGACATCTTGGTTGGAAGTGAAGTGAGGATGATGGTCGTGGAAAATGGCCGGGTCACCGCGCTTAATGATTTAAAAAGCACGAGGTTGTGTTAAGGCTATAATCATCTGACAAACGCCTCTTTGTTATCGGAGTGCTGTGCATTATTCGTGTCGGCGCCTTCGAGTCTGACCAATTCGGACCTGTTTAGCAAAGTTAGTTGTGTGCTCGGACATGATACGTCGCTAGAAGAGATGATTTATAATGATGATGGTCGATGCGTGGATTAGGAATAGATGATGATTATCGATGCGTGTATTAAGAATAGATGATGATGGTCGATACGTGGATTAATAACGACTGGTTGGAAGCCAGGAGATGGAACGCATCTGAGCGGACATTTGACGAACATCTTGAACGATAGTGAAATCGGATAGTGTTCAGGTGCCGATTGCATTCTAACATTGCAGGATTGTTATGGATGGTGGCAGTTGGAGGAGGCATTCATCCAGCAGTGGATTGATAATGCCTGATGATTGAGGTGGTGGTGGTGACCAAATCACTTCGAAAGCCAAGCATGGCAGGATCGTGCATGGATGGTTGATCACCATGCACAAAAGCAGGCTGCTGTGGAGGCTACGTGGCGGGGCTTCAGAGTTCAGTGCAGACAATATCCCCTTCACCACCAACCCGCACTGAAGAGCGTGAGTGAAGTATGGTGTAATGACAGGGGAGTCAGCCTGCGGTGGGAGTGGACTAGTGGCCACGGGAGGTAATGACAGGGGAGTCAGCCTGCTGTGCGAATGCACTCGTGGCCACGGGAGGTAATGACAGAGGAGTCAGCCTGCAATGCGAAGGGACTAGTGGCTACGAGAGGAAATGACAGGGGAGTCAGCCTGCAGTGTGAATGGGCTAGTGGCCACGGGAGGTAATGACAGGGGAGTCAGCCTGCAATGCGAAGGGACTAGTGGCCACGGGAGGTAATGACAGGGGAATCAGCCTGCGGTGTGAATGGGCTAGTGACCATGGGAGGTAATGACAGGGGAGTCAGCCTGCAGTGTGAATGGGCTAGTGGCCACGGGAGGAAATGCCAGGGGAGTCAGCCTGCAGTGTGAATGGGCTAGTGGCCACGGGAGGTAATGACAGGGAGTCAACTTGCAGTACAATTGGACGGCAGAGTCTGCTGGTGGAGCGAGCGTCTAGAGCCAGCGAGAAGGAAGGGTGGCGTGGCCTCGGTCCGTATATAAGGGAGATGCGCGGGAGACTCGGGGCTGTTGCAGTGGGGTCTCCGCCTGTTCGAGTGAACGTGTCTCATCAATAAAGAAACCATCTCAAGACAAGGGTGTCAAGTCGTCATTGCACATGTACACGGGAGAGCTTGTGCATTGCACGGTTGATGTTTCTCAACACGGAGCAGACGCAAAGGGAAACGAGACGGCATTTGTCATCCTATTATACGCTTTAGATGAGTACGATTATGTGGCTGCTTTAAATGTCTACCCGACAAGCCACTTCAGTTGTGCTATCATTTGTGGCCAGGTCGCTTCTGAAAAAGAAGCTCATAGCTCAGTGGGATTTACCTGGTAATATAAACAGATTTTTTTTTAGTGATTTGAATACCTTTCCTATACTTTGCACTCCTATCGTGTTTTCCTACTGTTGTACATTTCTGACCCGCCCCTACTGGACATCTGTGAATAAAGAGCTTTATAGCTTATCGGATTCCTCCAATTTTCATAAAGATTCTGATTCTGTTGGCCCTAAAGGAATATTTCTGATAGACATGTAACAACAGATTTGTCAAAGATAAACAGACCTCCGTTCATGCATTTCCACAAACATGTATGTTGAACGTCTTTCGCACCCTACATCGTAGCCAACCGTGCCAATCGGAGGTGCGGGAACCTCCAGAGGCAGGTTCGCTCGCACACACACGATGGGGGATCGGGACTTGAGATGTGGGTAGCGAGGTGCACTTTTGGGGTCTTGGTTGATGATGGGTTGGGTTGGTTGTTGTTGGAAAGAAGACGCGCGAGAATGGAACCCTGCATTTTCGCTTCGCGTACAGC